TTAACCTATATATCCTACACTACTTTTTTTTTTTTTTTTAACACAATCCTACACTACCTTTTTAATTTTATACGTTAATTAGCACTGACACTTTATTTTTTTATGGATGGCACTGACACCTTTGACAATTGCAGTGGGCTCCTATCTTGTAGAATTTCTCCATCAAAAGGCGCGCCCCGTGCTTCTTCCAGGTCATTGTACAGCAATGTGTGTGGTAATTGAAGACACCTTTAATTAGGGGTGGGTAAAAATGGGTTTTGGTTTAAATTGAAATCGATTTTGAATTAATTAATTTTTTATAATTTTAAAAATTAAAATCAAATCAAATTTTTTACAAATTAATTGATTTAGTTACAAATAAAATTAATTTTATTTGGTTTAGTTTCGATTTTTATCAAATATATATTAATTATTTTTTTAATAATAAATTATATTTTATGTCATATTTTAATAAATTTATCAAAATTTTAATTTTTAGAAAGCTCAATTCAATTTTTAAATTTTAAAAACTTTAATTAAAATCAAACTAAAATTTATTTAATTACTAACAAACCAAAATAATAAAATTTAAAAACTATTAAAATCAATCTAAATTTATTTTTTTAATTTAATTCCTAAATAATCATTTGATTACCCACCCGAATGACTACCAGCCCAACCTTTAACTATAGCCGTGGGCTCCTCTTGTAGATTTTTTCTATCCAAAGGTACCATCAGTCTTGGTCGTCGTCCATGATCAGTGTGCTGGTGCTTCTTCTGCGCTATTGCGTACCAATTTGTGTGCGGCAAATTTGAGATGCTTTCATAAGGTTAAGTTGGATGTTCATACACGGTTTCGAAAGGCAACAATGATTGTTAATTTTTCATCCGGTTATAACTTTCTAATGTTTGATATTATTGTAACTTATAATTATTTATGATGTTTTATAGAGGAAGTGAATGTATATTATATTAAAAATAATTTTTTATAAAAATTAAAAAAGAAATTGTAGTTTTTAAGGGTAGTGGCATAATTAGAGTTTTATAAAAACATAATTACACAACAGTAAAGCAATCGTAGTTGCCAATTTGTCATCAGCAATAATTTATGATTCTCACTACTAAATAGCTGAAGTCATTTTTTTCTTACGACGTACCAAATCAGTCCTTCTGAAGAAACATCAGTACTGATTATGGGAAATAAAAGACAGGCAACATACTGGAAATCATCAAATCTGCATCAATGCAGCGAATAATGACTAGTAGAATCAAGGAGAGCTTACTTAAATTCAAAATCCATGTTCAAATGCAACACAATGTCATAAAAGTTCTAGCAATCATATTAAGGGCCTCTATGGTGCAATTTGTTAGAACTTTTGCTTTTGTTGTAATGTTTATAAATAATAAATTTAAATTTTTATT